ATATCATGCACATAATTAAATTTTAACGAAGATTACTTGTATTTTTTCTATTGAAAGGTATTTACTTCTACGGCATTCCTTATTTAAAAATTTAGAATTATGTAACAGATGAAAGCGACTAGTCACAATGTAAAAAACCGAATAATCCTTCTTTTATTCGGATTCATACTATGAGAATAGCAAAACAATTTATTTATCTTCCTGTAAGTGAAAAGGAAACAACAAGATTTTCTGTTATGTATGATTTTATTAAAGTCAGGACTCGTAGTCGTACTATTTATGATTCATTATTATAGTCGCAACTAATCATGGATATGACATTCTTTTATTATACTGAATATATTTTCAAAGTTTAGTATTCTCTTTCTCTCGTAGACAAGAGTCTAACAAAAATAAATTATTTGCTTGCTTGTATGTGTGCACTTCACTGATTGGTCCAAGAATAATCTGAATAAAAAAAGAAACTGTTGATAAGAAAAGAACGATGGAAATTTTTTTAGATTTCTTTTTCAAATAATAAAAATAAAATTAATTAAAGAAATTTCATTTGAATTTTGTCGCAAAAATACATAGCATAAAAAAAACCAAAAGAGCAAAATTATTTGTTTTCTTCCTTCTAAATTGAGTTTGATAGAAAAAATTGGGTATTGTCCCAAAATCCGGAGAAAAAATTCGGAAGAAAAAATCGTGAGAAAAAAATCTGGAGAGAAATAAATCCGGAAAGAAAAAATTCGAAGGAAAGAATCCGGAAAATTTTTGGAAAAAGATTCAATAGTTTATTCAACAAAGAACCATGTACAAGAAAGAAGAGAAACCATTTGATTTGAAGAGAAGTGATGTGGTTCACTTTTTAGTAGCCACCAATAAAGAAAGTCTCACGAGATACTCATCGCGATCGATCTCATCGCTCTTGAAAGGTTTGGCAAGTAGGACTGTGAAAGCTCAGATTCAGTTTTTCTGGAAATGGAACTGTCACATTCTTATTGGTAAGAGTATTGACTTTAGTTAGATGGTGTAGGTATGGATAAAGCATGGACACAATATCCATACTCTCAAGGTGCACGTCTGTGTATATTTGCTATTAGAAGTGCAGAGCACAGTAAAGTAGAACGGCACTCGGTAGACGATAATCATGATTGACGTAGACAACCATAATCATTTATGAAAGAATATTATCATTCTCTTCTATTAGAACAATATCAGAAATTTTCCGGATTTTCTATTCTCCGGATTTAAAGACATATTCAAAAATTGCAACATTAATTTCTTCATTTTTTGTTCAGTTTTGTCTAATTTTGCACAAGACAAGATAAGAAAAGATTTTGTGTTTGATGAAAAATTATTGGTAAAAGTCAAATTGAAATAAATTCTATCATTATAGATGTAGTTTATGTTTATTAAACTTCAATAAATAATCATCGCATGAATTCTGTTTCAATCGATATTATTAGATCGTTTATTAAAGTTTCTTTTATTTTCAAAACATACAAAAATAATTGATGACGAGTGTTAGTCTTATTTACACATCCTCAATATATACCACTGAATTTCTCACCTTCAATAACTAAAATACTCAATTGTTTATAAAATATATTTATTAGAATTAAATTCAAAAAGAAAATGTGATAAATGGTAAATTGTGAAGTTGTTTGTATGGCTCAAACATATAGATAATAAAAAAGAGCGATAGTTCTAAGTTTTATAGTTACAAAATATTTGTGTAGTTCATCATTGAACTATGCTATAGAAAATGAATATGAAAATGTTCTTGAATAGATAATAATTCATCGTCAGAATTTGATTTAACAAAGAATAAAATAAGATGTTATCAAACGATGTATGAAGATGGTTCATTTAAGTTTCCATCTGGCTTTGATCGATTACTTCCAACGGCTGAATTAACTTTATTTCCAATGTCAATTACTATCTAAAATTAATAAATATTTATATTAATATATTTTTAAAAGATTATAAAAGTTTGGCTAGAGTTCATCTATGTATATTTTCATAACACGTGTTGTATGGCAAGAAAATTGTATTCAAGTCAATAACATTGCTCAAGATAACTATTTAAAAAAAAGGGGTAAACTTGATATTTATAAGTAGCAATTAGTCATCAAATTCACACGTAGGATAATGGTATCTGAAATTAGTTGTTAATGTTTATTGAATATTTAAATACCAGGAAAATGAAGTTGAGCTGATTAATATTTTAAAAAATTTCATTTGTTTATTGTTTTTCTAGTAAGATAAATCGAAACTCATCACAAAACAAAACATGTTCACTATAATTATGACTTCCATAGTATTTCTCCATTTGTTGATCACTGTTTAGAGTGTTAAAAATGATGTTCTTAGAAAAAGACAAACATCTATCAAGAATAGATTGCTACGCTATATAATTTAATGGGAGACATATTTTTTACATTTATTTACTATGTGTAATTTTTTTATTATGATAGTGCTATTTCATAATGCTTAAAAATCTTTCGTTTCTGTAACTCAGTCAAAATACAAATATAACCTATTCAAATTGTTCTACTTACATAGTAATGAGTGATAGTGGTTGGACTGCGTCGTCCAATGTACCTTTGTGTAGTATAAGAATTCAGATGCCACTTTGTAGGTATTGGTAGTTTTGTCGAGTATTTCAGTGATTCAGCATCAACTGCGTTGCGTAGACGTTTCAGGCGTAATACGCCTAACGAAAATGATACACAAATGCCAATACAAAAACCAAGTATTAATAGTACACCTCCAACACAAATTAATGGTATATATATTGCCGGATTTTTTAGCGATATCAATCCCAAACCAGCACCCAATAGTGCTGGTCCAATCAACATGCATAATATAGTAACAAAGTGAACAATGTTTTCAGACAAAGTCCGTTTGTATGCATGATTAATATTGTCTAATGACTGAAAGAATTCATTTGGATGTATGATTCCCATCAATTGTGAAGGAAAATCTGAATTGAACTGTGTGCTCCTACAACATCCTATATAAAACAAAGACAGAAATACATATGTTATATCATACATGAAATAGAAAATGTGAAATTTACTTTTAATTTCGTGTATGGTAACGCTTCTTTGAGGAATAGATGCTCCAAGCATTTTTTTTATCTAGAATACGAATAAAACAACATAAATCTAGCATATTCAAAATCTTTTCGTTAGAGTTTGTTGAATGGGAAAACTTTCCATTGATTGAGTCTAAGCTGAAAAATTTGGGATAAAAGAAATATTAGGTAGAATAGAATCGTCCAGTATATATTTGAATTCAAAGTTTTCGAATTTATTGATTTCTATCTGTCAGTTCTAATATCAACGATTAGAAAATGAACTACGTCATTTCATAACGTGAATAAAGGTAATCTCATTTATGAGATTTATACATGGAGAATTCTTTGTATATACAAATTTTAGGTACAAATGATGATCTGTTTGATAGTTAAATCTATTTCTAAAATCAGTAACGTATATACACATTAGAAATATTCTTGAATCGAAGGTTCGAACATATTATTGTGTGAATAACAAGATGTTGGAATTCTGTATTCGAAGTGGTATGAATATATACTGGAAAGTGATGATAATTTTAAATTTTCTTGTTAATATTTACTTTGTTACACGCCTATGTTTAATTTTTCTACTAGATTATGTTCACAGATCAGAGCTAGATAATCGTGTTTATGATGAATATCATTCTTCTTGTTCGTATATCATTACATAACTTTTATCAGTAATTTTCAAATCTACAAAACAAATTTCCAATAAACTGATCATATTATACTTGCTTGATTTGCCATAACATTCTTTTGATTATTTTTGAGAACATAAATGAATACAATAATTATAATATATTCGAAGTTATATATATATATATATATATCGAAACTCCGTGTCATATGCATGACTAATTTAGTATGACTTTCAATGAAAAACGGAAGAGATATAACATGATTTAATAATTGATAGTTATGTGCTTCTATGACTCACTACCTTTTTCCTATTGTGAATATATGATATGCAGGTAATATAACACAAAACATGACTTACATGTATCTTCAATAATTTATCATATACCTGAAACAAAACGATGTAATTAGAAAGAAGTAATTACTCTCAAAAACAGATTCGTTCTTTTCAATCGAATGTAATGCTTTTTATGTTAATTAGTCACAGAGAATGTTTTGATTTTTCTCTGATACATACACATGAGTAAGTATTCGTTCTGTTTATACCATAATTGAGTATAGTTTAATAGTTAAAGAATAGTAAACTCTGTTTTTCTATATTTTGACGATTTTCGATTGCGCTTTACATGATTTTTTATATACAAAGTGTCCTATAAATACAAGGCGGGACAGCTGATTATTTGATTAGGTATGATTAGCAGTGATTAGGAGTGATTACCAGTTTCATAATTAACTGTTTCTCCCTTACATAAATGACAGCATGATAAAAACTTTGCAGATTTTTACTTTCCTCCGCTCATGATAATTTTTATTTGATTACAAAATTAATCAACTGGAATATATTCTCCTATAAACTGGAATAGAATCAGTCTACTCGAATGCACACAATATTTTCGGAATCTGTACAATGACTGAAAATCTTATTTGAAGTCAATAATGATAAATGAGAGTGATTATTTTTTAACACAATTGATCATAAGGAATATATGAAAAGATGCGTAACACGACAATTACGCGTAAAAAAAACTTTTTTCCTTCTGTTCTCATCTGATTTGATTTTTAATAAAAGACATAAAAGATACTAATAAGAATCAAACTTGCTTGTTGTATCAAAATGAGACTAAACCTAGTCAAAATAAATCAGATAAAAGTATAAAGAGAAAGCATATATGTATATATATGTGCGTATTATTTTAATAATTTCTAAGATATAAATATGTTTTCTATAAAATAAGGCAAAGAGCAAGGCATAAAATATGAAAAAATTGATTTTCGAATACGAAACATGGTCAAAGAATTTCATATTATTTCAAGGAACGGTTATTTTAAAAGAGCCAGATGAGTGTTTAATTTCTGAATGACTACATTCTTTATTCTCAATTATTGTTCTCTTAGCTTATTTATTTCTATTAATAATTTATATCAATATATCTTTTAAAATTGAGAACTATTTTTCTATCAGTAGTTAAACATAAATCTTCACCCGTTCATAATTCTTGAGGGTGGGTATGGATAGTATTTATTTCTTAATGTGACCCACACCCACCCTCGGTCTTATATCAAGTAAAATCATTTTATATAAGACGTTTTAAGGATAAAAAAGAAAATGAGATAGCTATTGTAATACGCTATTGAAAATAAAATGGATTAACCAGTTCTAATAAATAATGAATTCACAGGAAACTAAAAGTAACCAATATGAATAAAACAATAAATACGTTAGAATGATATACATGTTTATTAGTTTGTGAATTGTTGCTTAGTTGTAATACTCTTTTCCAGAGCAGTTTACAGAAGTATAATAAAAAGAAAATAAGTAGTAATCTGATATATCATTCTGCTTATTCCATAACCAAATCAAATGCGAACTTTAATATAAATTTCTTCTGTATGTTATCAAGTTCTTTTTTGTACCGTTTATAGAGGTAGCGCCATTCAGCGTGTGGGTGTAAGCATGAGCATTTCTTCTCTTAACTCATACTCATACCATCACTCTCATATATAATTTGTATTAATATCGTTCTATGGTAACTAGTGAATTCCATCAAAAACTGATAATAACATATTTTGATGCGTTAAATTGCATACTTCCAACCCGTAGATATGTGCACTTTTGCCCGTTTTGTTATTTTCAATGATATGATCTTTGATTATATTTCTAAAGTGTTCTATAAGGCATTTTAATTGCATGTGTTTTAAACCTACTTATAAGATAAGTGAAAACTACCAGCGCTTGTAAAGCTATAAGATAAATTACTTTTTACCGTAGCAACGCTTGTCAATAATTTATTTTGTAATCATTGTTGAAGTCGATTAAAGTTATATTTTTTATATTTATTTGAAAGCAATATTCACTAAGCGCTCGGACAAAGTTTGAGAAAATTGTCTGATTATATAAACTACAATTAGTAGCAGAAATCTGTCTTGATAGTATTATGTAGGTGTTATATTAATATTTTAAAGATAACTACTCGTTGTATTTAATTACGCAGAAAAAAATAAATTTTTAAAAATAGAAACTCATTTTATATAAGAAGCGGTTATATTTAAAAGTGTTGTTCATTATTATTATATAAAAATGAGTTCGTCCGACGTTTACTACATAAATCTTTTTAATAATATTATAACTTATGTTTATAAATATATTCTTCTTATTTGTTATGTCGTAAGCAATATTGGAAACCTGTTAAATGCTTTTGTATTTTTTCAAAAATCTTGGAGAAAAAATGTTTGTGTATTTTATTTTAAAGTTATTCTTATTGTTAATTTATTTTATATTAATTTTACTATGCTAAGTCTTGTCCTTTTACATGGTTTTAATATAAGCTTACAGAATTCTAGTGTTATTATATGTAAATTGTATTTCTATGCATCATTTATATTTGCTACACTTTCGCCTACTATTCTTATTCTTGCTTCTATTGATCGTTTATTAATATCTTCACAAAATGTTGATACACGTTTGTACAGTTCAAAACGTTTAGCTTATTTTTCTATCAGTATAAGTACAGTTTTTTGGATTGTTTTCAATTCTCATATACTTATTAAAGTTAATCTTCAAGAGTTTGCTCCTTTTTATTTTGTTTGTTATTATGATCCTTCATCGAGTTACCTTGATTTTGTTTCATATTTTGTAGCAGTTATTAATGTAATTTTCGATGTTTTAATGATTAGTATGAGTGTATTTGCTTTTAAAAATGTTCATCGTATTAGATCAATCCCACGTGAAACACGAAATCAAATTCGATCGATGACAAAAAAAGATTTTCAATTACTTCGTTGTTTGTTTTTTCAAGATGTCATATTCATTATTTTCGGTACATTAATAAGTATATTTTATGTCGTTGATGCTATAACAAAATATCAAAATGGAACAATATTAGAACAAGCTATACGAAATTTTTTATATAATTTTATGTCATTTATTTATAGTACTTCTTATTCAGTGAATGTTTTCACATTTATCATCGTATCAAAAGCGTTTCGACATGAATTAAAACGTACAATTTATAAGATCATTGGTAAAGATCTTGTTCCAATACGAGAAGAAGAAAATAGACAAGAAAATCATGAAAGAGACAATGTAGAAATAAATGTTGTTAGTACCATTGAAGTACCTGCTTAATTATTAAATACGACGAAATAAAAATAACTTTGTTTTAAACGATGAATATCTTATTGTCGGGGATAAAAAAAGGAAAATTCAAGTTATTATATTTTTAGATAATAAGATTAAATTCTGTTTTAAGCAGAATTTATAAATACATCAATCTTTTTATAATTGTCTATTAGAAAACGTAGTAGAAATCTTTTTGTTTTCAAGAAAATAAACATTTCTAGGTATCTTTATATAATTTGTGAAGTTGATTATGTATCTGCAGTAAATATAAAATTATGTTGAAGGTGTGGGCGGATGAAATATAAATAAAATAGTAACCATTCAGTACATAATAATACAAACAGTGCTGTTGTGGATAGATTTCATATAGATTACATCGTACAGCCTTCGAAAGATGAACGATTACTGTACGTGATAATATAATACTTGAAAACAAATAAAAATCAAATCTGTATCACCTTTACTAGAGCGTTTAGTAATTCAAATGAAATAAATTCTATAAATATAATCGATTGAGTTTATTCAAATAGAATGTTTATAAGAGTAATAGCGTTAATAAAGTTTTAATTTTCATCATTGTCTTTGATCAACTCTTTTTCGTAACGTGCTAATTGAAGCAATAAGGCAAGATTAGGTGATGCTTCTGGTCGTCTGGCTAATAGATAATCATAAGCTTGTAATACAGTCCATTTATTATAATGCATTAAATAAGCAATAACGATTGTTGAAGAACGAGATACACCACGATGACAATGTACTAGTGCTCGACCACCTTGTTGATGACATTGATCAAGAAATTCGTTTGTTGCATGAAAAGATTTTAATAGATCAACGGAAAAACTGTCTTTACCTGGAATATGAAGTATTTGTTGCGATTGATTCGATAAAACTTTATCAGTAACGTTGATAATATGAGTAATTGAGAGTGATTTGAGATTAGCCGAATCGTTTGCATGTTGCCAATTGCCTTGAAATAGCCAAGAATCGAGTATATCAGATGCTTGTTGATGCGATGCTGTTACGCGGTTCGAATGTTGTTCTTTCAATTGTATCATCGACTTAACATATACTATTTCAGTATCTGTTACTTCACATGTCTCATGAAGACGCTTTTCACGCTTACTCTGTAATGTCCCCATTTTTAAAAATGAGATGAAAATAACGACGACTAACAAAACGACGTAGTTTCCTTTGTGTTCCGATGTGTCACAATCACATTGAATCACACAACATTAAACATGATGTATCAGAACAGAATTTTCTTTCTTTTCTTGTGTGTCATGATTACATCGGATTGTGTAACAGTAAAATATCATGAGTCAGTTGTTCGTACTCGTTAAAGAAAGAAAAACTTCTAGTCAGATAATATTTAAGATCAACATTATTTCGATTCGCATCGTGTTAATTATTTTTAGCCTGTTATAGCTTATTTAGTTTAAATAAAGATACATAACATATATAATAAAATTAACAAGATAAAGCTATAGTAACAGTTAAGAAAGAGCCACAGTTTGATTAATGGTTGCTGTTACTGTTCGTTTATTAGATCGTAAATAGTTCATTATCTTAAAATAAGAGTTGAAATTCTTCTTCTCTTTTGGCACGCTTCTACAGGAGTAATCTATTTTTTGCTTATCTTACCGTCACCATTCAACGTTTTACCGAACAATACGTCGTGCAGTAACGAGCATGTGAAGAGTGCTACATTTGTTTATACAAATGAGCTATTGTTATATAAAACAACCATTTTGCATATTGTGAGAGAATGCGTTCTGTTTGAATCACCTTGTGAAATCTTTCATTCTGTTGTAAATACGATGAAAACAAATTCTTTTTCATTCTTGTTTGGCGACATATAAAAAAGATTGTTTATATAGTATGACATGCTGTAAGTAAATAGTAACATAGACCGTGCTTCTTTTCACTAAGAATACAACGGTGATGATCGGTAATCATAGAGATTCATTAATATTCACAGTTTAAACTGACTTGTTTCATTTAAAAAACATTATAGTGAATTATTAAAGTTTAAAGTAACACATTTTGATGCTTTATATGAAGAGAAACAAAGTTGAAATAGATAAATTAAGATTGCGCATGAATGTCATATTAATTACAAATCCATAGCTATCGATCCGTATCAGACTTCGTCATTTTTGTACCTCCCTGCTATACGTCATTTTCTTCGTTCTTCAGCATCTCTTCCATAATAAAAATGTCATTCTGTTTAGATGTTAGAACATTTACAAGGCAGAATTATCGAGTAACAGAATGAATTTTTCTGTTCTGTACAAAGCGAAAGAAAAGAAACAAATTTCACTTGCAAAGACCAATGATTTCGAAAAAATCAGAGAAGCTGATCGAGCTCCTGGGCAACTTGTTCGCGGCGTCCGTCATTCTGTTGGTTATAAGACAATAGTTTCTTCTTTTCTTTCGCATACGTTTCGTGATGTTTGTGTAACGTTGAAAGAAGGTGAGTGGAATAAAATAAAACACTACAGTGTAACGGGAAAAGGGTGAATGAATAATATGATGGAGTATTATTTCGTTATTGCTGCAGTATTTTATTTATTTTAAGTTGTG